CAGCAAAGTTCATAAAATCCTGGTGGGGATGGGCCCCACACCCCCAGGAGAGAGGTGCTCATTCAGATTTCATGCACACTAAGCTTTCCTAAGAAGAAACCCATAAGCTACTTCTTAGCAAAATGGCTAAAAATAGAGAGGGCATTACTGGCTGCCCCAGCAGGGACAGCAGGGCCGTGGTGGGGGCAACTTGGTTACAGGACTGGAAGGTCCTCAGTGGATTTGCTGAGGACACCAAGTTGGGAGGAGCTGCTGACTCCTTCCTTCAAGGACAGAGAGGCCCCACAGAGAGACCCTGACAAATGTGAGGGTTGGGCAATCCTCAACTGCGTGGTGTTTAACAAAGGCAAACGCCAGATCCTGCCCCTGGGATGGGCAGCCCTGGATGCAGGGACACACTGGGGAATGAGAGGCTGGAGGGAAGGGCCCTGGGGGTCCTGGGCAGTGGCAAATTGGATCTGAGTCAGTAGAGTGTCCTGGCAGCCCAAAGGGCCACCCTGTCCTGGGGGGCATCAGGCCCAGCATCGCCGGCTGGGCCAGGGAGGGGATTGTCCCACCCTGCCCTGACCTGGGGCGGCCTCACCTCGAGTCCTGGGGGCTGTTTGGGGGCCACGGTGTCAGAGGGATCTAAAGGTGCTGGAGAGTGTCCAAAGGAGGGACAGGGAGCTGGGGAAGGGTGTGAGGAGCAGCTGAGGGCACTTGGCTGGCTCAGCTGGAGCAGAGGAGACTGAGGGGAGACTCCTCGGGGGCTGCAGCTCCTCCCGAGGGCAGGCGGAGGGGCAGGCGCTGAGCTCTGCTCTGGGACCAGGGACAGGAGCCAGGGAAGGGCTGGAGCTGTGCCAAGGGGGTTGGGATGGATCTCAGGGAAAGGTTCTTCCCCCAGAGGGTGGTGGGCACTGCCCAGGCTCCCCAGGGCAGTGGGCACGGCCCCAAGGCTGCCAGAGCTCCAGGAGCGTTTGGACAACGCTCTGAGGGACAGGGGAGGATTGTTGGGGTGTCCTGGGCAGGGGGAGTTGGACTGGATGATCCCTGTGGGTCCCTTCCAGCTCAGGATATTTTGGGATTCTGTGAAATGTGGGTACCTGGGGGCTGCAGGGTGCCCCATGTACAGACTCACACCAAGCCCTGCAGCCCCAGCTGAGCTGCTGGTGGAGTCCAGCACTGGCCCAACGACCCTCAGGCAGGACATGATAGAGATGAGGGTGGTGAGGGTAAATGCCAGCCTTGGGACACACGGGATGGGGTGGCTGAGGTAGTGGCCAGCCCACAGATCCCCTCCAGCAGCCACGTGTCCAGGAGGAAAGGGGTTTTGGAAGCTTGAGAGGCCACAAAAGCAATGCTGAGGTTGGTGATTCTTTCTGAATTGAGACTTGGGGAGCTCCCAGTACCCCTGGGATGGAAGATGCCACTTCACCATCATTCAGTAATTAAATAAGAAAAATCCCTGGTTTGATCCAACATGCAGGAAAACTCCTGGGATCCCTGTGCAGACCCTGTGCCTGCAGGCAGGAGAGTGGTCAGAGGGGATGACCCAGGTCACTGAGCTGCAGGGGGGGCTGGGAGCAAAGGGAAACCCTCCAGTGCCTCCGGGGAAGGGTGTGAGATACTGGAGGGGAAAAGAAAGCAGCTCCACAAGGGCTGATACTCAACAGGCAAGTGTGGCCAGGATAGAGACCAAACTGCTCCCAAAAATAAACCAGAGGCAAATGGGGCAACAAGCAAACTCTGACAAACAATAGAGAAACGACACATCCTCGAGGGAATGAGGAGTTATGGTTTGCATGTGTCTAATGAGCATGGGCCAGCAATTCTTTACAATATGTTAATCCATATAAGCTTTCCAGGGCCTTGCTTAGAGCTGAGTGTGACTGCTGGGCTCTGTTTCTTGTTTCTAGGTCTGTATGGGCCCATAAAATGGGGATTTGCAAGCACAGACACAGCACTGAGGGACGCTTTTTGTTTCTATTTGAACTTTCTCAAATGCCTCTAAATAAGGGAATCTGCTTTGAGGTTAAACAGCCACCCATCAGAGCTGCCCATGGAGGGTCCCAGCATCACCAGCTGCCCAAAAAAAGGGGAACACCCCAGCCAGTGCAGGTGCCTGACCTGGGTGCAGGTACCATATCCAGGTGAGGATTTGTTCCAGATCTGCTGGGAAATAGTGGGGTTTGATGTACACCAAGCCAGGGATGCTGCTTGGCTGCCTGGGGCCAGGGGTATTCTCACCTCAGGCAGTTTTGGGGTGATCTCCTCAATGGGGGGTCAGGGGGTCCCCTCCTCAACACGATGAGAAGATGGTGCTTTAGAGTAGAAGGTGATGTTTTACCTGGAGGTGATCAAGGGCAGGATCAGCATCTTCAGCATCCTCATGAGAAGCTCTCCAGGAAAGGAAAAATACTGCTTCTCCTGCACACAGAGAGAGCCGTGTCAGGTGAGCACTGAGTGGGTGATGGTTGAGGGTTAAGGGCTCAAACTTGATAAATTTTTTCCCAACCAGACCCAGCTCTGAACTGGCTCCTCCTGAACGTTGCTGCACTTGTTATCAGGGAGCAGAGGCTTGGCAGCACCTGCAAAAGTGCCCCAAAGCCGTCAGGAGCAGCAAAAGGTGGGAGTACCTTGTGGCTGCAGGTGGCAAAGCCAAGCTCAGGGAGAGCCTGGGTGTCCAGCCCATTCATGGGGTGGCCTCAGTGCAACAGGGGGGGTTTCTGTGCTGTGGCATCTCTTCACATCCCCTACATCCCTCACAGGGACATGGGGAAGGGCTGTCTGGAGAAGGACCCCCAAATTCCAGATAGCACAGCCATGACCAAGGGAAGAGTGCTGTCCCACTGGGGTCTGGACGTGGCTGATGTCCCTGGGGAGCTACAATGGACCCAGACAGGTGCAAGGGGTGCCAGCAGATTTGAACAGCAGCTCTTTGTCAGTGGGTCTTTTAACTTCATAATATTTCCCATTGTGGGTAGAAAGCAGGGAGTGGCCACTTCTCCAGCCCCTCCTCCGTGGTGCAGGTTTTGGGACAAAGGTCTCTAACGGGGAGAAGTGGCTGTGAGGCCTCACAGCAGGGCTGGGGCAGAGGATGGCTGAAGTCAGTGCAGGATGAGGGCCTGGAGCCCTGGGGCTGTGCTGGCTCACGGGTGTGTGCACTGGGATGAGGAGATTACACCCGGCTTCAATTAAGTAACGAGATCATCCCCGCTGCGCTGATGTTGAGGGGCCTAATTGAAATGACAAGACTTTGCTAAATCCAAGTGGGCAACCCAGGGATGTTCCAGCACCAGCCAAGCTCTCCCTGGAGCAGATTCCCCCTCCTGGGCTCCTCAGCCTGCCGAGGATCAGGGCTGAGCCCAGCCCAGCTGCCCGGCGGCAGCGCAGCCGTGGGGATCCGGTGCCGTTTCACACCATGATCCTCCTGGGAAGTGCTGAGTGAACGTCCCTTTTAGGGGCATTTCCTCCAGTGCGTTTGTTTCCAAGGGTCCTCAGAGGAAGGACCCCTGGCAGACCCCCCTAGGCTCCCCACCTGCCCTTATTTATTTGCTGGGTCTTCTCCAGAGAGCAGAAACGTGCTCGGATTGAGCATCTGCACAGCTGGGGAGGGTCAGGGCAGGAGCTCATCCCACGGACCCCATCGCTGCTGGTGGTGTTGTGGGGAGTCTGTCACCGAGCATCTTGCAGCCAAGCAGCCATTCCCCACTTTCCCATCCCCAGCCCACCTGGAGGCTCTTGCAGTCCCATGGGCTCCTTCCCAGAGCCCCCCACTCCCATTGGAGGAAGGCAGGATTTGTCCTGTAGCTTTGGCATTTGTTGAGAACTTCTTGGGAAACAAATAAAAAAAAAAGCCCACAGAAAAACCCAAAAAACCAAAACCACGTGCAGAAACCTGTGCTGGGGTGATTTTCTTGGACAGGAGTCTTTGCTTTTGGGGCTGTGCCTGTCTGGGACCTTTACTGGCCCCAGGGCTGGTTGCCCCCCTCACCACTCCATCTCCCTCACTCCCGTCCCCATCCTGGCCGGGCTTACCAGGTCCGTCAGCTCCAGCGTCCGCAGCAGGAACCCCAGGAGGCACCCGGTGACAACCGACAGCATCGAGAGGGTCAGGAGGCCATTTTTGTACCAGAAAGCCCGCACCCACTTCCAGAGGCGCAGGAGGATCGTGGACAGGGAGTGCAGCACGGCTCTCCTGACACACTCCCACATGGTTGTGCTCAGCCACCCCGACGATGCCCCTCGGAGCAGGTCCCAGCCCTGCTCATGGCCACGAGCACCGACGGATCCCTGCTCTGTGCTGGGAGCTGAGTATGCTGATGGCTAATCCCCAGAACCAAAAGCTCCAGGGATATTTGGGAGCCTTTCCCATAATGGAAAGTGACGTCTTCCACTGGTTAATCTGGGCTTGGCATCCCGCCCCTGCGGTGCCGAACCCTCCCCGTTTAACCCTCCAGCCCCGGGCTGGGGGACGGGGTGCGGGCTGAGAGCAGGGATTCAGAGCCTCACGGTTTCTGATCCACAGGGATCTGGGTCTGACCACCAGATCTGGGTCTGGCACCACATTTGTGCTCCCACAGGCTGCGAGTGCACCCCCATCCTACCCCCATCTGTGAGGGCTTTCTGAGGGCAGGGCTTTCTTGTGGCATCTGCACAGACCTCAGCCCAAGACGCCAATGGATGATGCTGAATGTTTCTGCAGGATTATTTATCTACCCCAACAGAACCAACTTCCCCATCAGCTCTGCAGGGAAGCTGCCCCGAGGTCACAAGGTGCAGCTGGGGTGCCTGGTCAATAATCCACAATATTTTGGAGTATTTCTGTGTCCAGTTTGTCTCTGGCTCAGGTCAGGAGTGTTCCTGGGGCGGGAGTTTTTACAGAAGAATGGGGTGGGTGGGTGGGTCCAAGACTGAGGGTGCTCTGGGAATGGGGAAATATTAAAACCTTTCTGGCCCTGACTTTAACCCCCAACCAAAAACAAAGCCACGAAGCCTTCTTGAACCACTGCCATATTTTACACAGACAAAGCAAAGCCCCAGTGAAGTTGTGACTCGAGGATCTCAGGCCCCCTGCCCCGTGGGACAGGAGCTGTGCAGCCTCACGTGCCGCTGCTCTGCCAGGGTCACGGTGGATTTGCAGGCTGTCTCAGGGGAGCAGAGCTCCTTTCCCATCAGGAGTGTGGTGTCTGGTGCTGTGCATGTCGGCCCTTGGGGAGGTCTCTGTGGTGCTCTCTCATGCCTTTGGCCTCAGTGTGGATCACTCAGTCTGCCAGAAGTAGATAAAGTGTTTGCTCATCAGCAGAGCTGAAATACAGTTGCCTCTATCCAGCTCCAGTTTCAGAGCCAGCTATGAGCTGGGGGATGGAGTCTGCATGTTGGGAGTGAGCAACTGCTTGGGAAAGGGGAGTCCCAGTGTCTGGGGCATCAGGGACACCTCAAAGGACATCAAAGGGGCCCTGGGACTGACAGCAAGTGGAGGGAGAAAGCTGAGATGGGAAAGGGTGCAGGGAAGTCTGAATAATTGGGAATGTGAAGACCTTTGAGGAACTGAGAGCAAGTAAGGGATATCCCAGGAAGAGGAATCACAAAGAGGGAGGGGAGAGAGGGAAGGTGGCAAAACAGCAAGGGGTCAGGAGGGGAGGCCCTGGTGCTGGTGTGTGGTCTCTGCTGGTCCATGCCAGGCAGCACCTGGGGAAGGGGTAGGGCAGCACTTCCCTCTGCACCTACTGTAAATCTCAACGTCGTCATAGATGTCAGTGTCCCTGCAAGGAAAAAGACAGGGTGCTGAGGGCAGTCTGGTCTCCCATGTCACCCCATCACCTCCTGACTCTGAGGCAAGGGCCAGCTCCTGCTGCTGTATCTGTCCCATCTCTCCTGACTTGTCTGTGAGCTCTGGTGTCCTCCTGCAGTCCTATTTGCTCCCTCCCAGCTGTCCCCACAGAGCTGGGACACTCCAGTATGGGGTTAACACGACTCTGGCCCCTCTCATGGGCAGTGGCCTTGTTCCAGGCTACTGGGAGCTGCAGACCCGGCCATGCAGAGGGGCAGCACCTTTGTGCTGCCACCAGCAGCCTCTGGGCATGTCCCACGTGAGGGACCACAGCTTGGGGAGTGCTCAGGGTGCCAGAACCTCTCCTGACACCAGAAATGGCAGGTTCCACCCCAGGGTAACCAGCCCTGGTCTATGGGCACTGCCTGGGCTGGATGGTTTGGAGTTGTCAGTCAATGGCCAGGAATGGTTTGGTGCCAGGCACTCCCTGAGCAGCTGAGCTCATGGAGGGGGGAGGAGGGGGTTTGGGAAGGGTACTCACAGGTGCAGCATCACGGCCCGGGGCACGTAGCCATCTGCAACAGAGTGAGGAAAAACTTGTCAGGTTGTGCAGGGAGCTGTGGGACTCACGCCAGCACCTGCCCCTGCCCAGGACTGGCAGGGTTTAGCAACAGCTCATGTCCCCAGGGACAGGTGAGACAGGGCAGAGCCGGCTCTGGGAAGCTGAGCTGGACCCGTGGGAGGAACCTGCTCGGGGCAGTGCCAGGGAGGAGCCTGCCAGGCTGGGCAGGGAAGAGCCTGATCCCCATCCCTCTGCCTGGAGGATCTGCAGCCCATTTCACCTGCGCCTCCCTCGGTGCAGACACAGCTCGTGGAGACTGTGGCCATGGCAAAGCCTGGTGTGCCAGGCTGGTGGCCGAGAGGCTCTGGGGACTGGAAAGGCTTTTAGCAGAGGGAGAGGACAAGCCCCGCTCATGGCAGAAATGGAGGAAGAGCAGGACGTTTGTGCAGAGAGAAGTGGGAACCTTTGAGGCCCAGGGTACCTGCCAGGTCTGTCTAAAGGCAGGCGGATGTCTCTCCTGCGGTCTGGCGGGGCGTGTGCGTACGAAGAAACTTGTTCCTAAAATTGCTGTGCTCCCCCCTGCGGGCAAACCCTCATCCTCTTCCAGACTTACACCTCCTCTGGCTGTTCCGGCAGAGGATTTGCTCCTGATTGGTAAACTGAATGACATCAAGGATCTCCCCTCGTCGCAGCGGCAGATTCTTATCCCTGCCCCTCTTCTCTGTCGCTGCAGGGTCGACCATCATCCGAGTCAGGACGTTGATGCTGCCTTCGAACTGAAACACGAACAGCAGTGCCCTTAGGGGAACTGAGTCAGGCAGGTCTGACTGCTCTCCCTGCTTGGAAAAAGCAGATGCTTCTCTAGCCAAATGGTCTGTGGGACTGGTCTGATCTGGGGGAACAGGGCAGGTGGGACCTGGTGGGAAGAGCTGTCCCTGCAGAGCACAGCTGCTCTCTGCCGTTGCATTGCACCCTCCCCAGGAGGGGAGAAGGAGCTTGGAGAGATGCTGCTCACCTTGAATTTCTTCTGAAACTCCCTGTCTGCCTTCTCTTCCTTCCTGCATTCCTTGAGTGTCTTCTGGGAGACCTGGGCTTCTCTGCAGTCGTTGAGAGTCACGTGAAGGTTCAGGTGACCCCACACTCTGATCCCTCTCATCCCCCCCAGCTGCTGCCCCATTGCATTTCCCTGCACCAGCTCTGGGGCTGCTGGGGGCTCTTGGACCAGGTGCACAGCCTGCAGCTTGTGCTGTTCACCATGGACTTTCCTACTGCAAGCACAGCAGAGACCATTAAAGCACCAGCTTGGTCAGAGCACCAAGGAGACCTGACCATTTTGGGACCTTTAGAAAAAGCAAAACTCCATTACCTCTGTGCAGCTGCCAGCAAGGTAACCCTGTTAGAGGCTCGGCCAGCATCTCTACCTGTAAAACCAAACCCCAGGAGAGGTGCTGCTGCAGTGAGGCTGCTGTGAGGTGTAAACACCTGCCAAGACAAGATACAAAGAGCAGCAAGAGCTTTCCCCTCCTGGGACCAAGCCCTGACCGTGCCCCTGAGTGTGGTGGGATCAGGGTTTCCCGTGCCCATTTACAAGCAGCAGAGAAGCCCATCTCCCTCCTGTGCGTGGCAGCAGAGGGCTCAGCACGGGCTCTGCTGTTGCCTGTGGATATTTGGGGCCTCAAGGCTCTGGGAGCTGCAGCTCTCACCCCAAACAGCACTTCTGTACCCACCTCCTCTAGGGTGGGGATACGCTGGCGGCCGGGACGCAGGAGGCAGCAGAACACCCGGGTTTCTCCTGGGCGGCCCAAGAGACTCAACATCATCATACAGCTCCTCTTCATCCCTGTGGCAAGGCAGACGGGGTTGGGAAGCACTGCTGCGGGCCGAGGGTGGAGTGGAGGCTGCCAGGAGCAGGGTGGGCAGCAGGCAGGTGGGCTGCCCTGGGCTGGCCCTGGCTCTGGGGCAGAGCGGGACAGCAGCTCTGTGCCCCGTGCCAGCAGCTCCTCAGAGTGCAGCACAGCAGGGCAGTGGGGGGGACAGGGGGTGTGATGGCAGCAGCCACAGCAGTGCAGGGATGCAGCCCCCAAGGGGTGGCAGTGCCTTGCCCCGAGGGAGCTGCTGCACACGCTGGGCTCCAGCAGCAGGCAGGAAAACCCCGGGACCTCCTCGATGTCCCCTCTTGTGCCCTTCCCACCGGGTCGGCACAGCCTCGAAGCCACCAATAGCAGAGCTGTCTCGGTCCTTACCCGGCGGCACTCGGAGCATCCTGCAGCGGGAACCGCACCCGCACAGCACAGCCTGGGCTCGGGTGACCTGCGGTAACCAGCAGAACAGGAGGGAGCAGGGAGGGGTTATCTCATATCTTCTGCTCAGCTCTATCACCCACCCTGAGGTCAGAGCCGCCCTGGACTGGATTTAATGCAGAGACAGGGAGGCAGGGAGATAAAACTGCACATCTGGGTCAAGCAAGGAGTTTTTACTCCAAAGCTCATCCAGGGACTTTGGTCCAGCACACGGGGGCACAGCTCATTGGGGAGCTCACTGCGGACCATGAATATATATTTTCCCATTCTTATGTCCCTAATATTACTTTCTCCATGGACAAATGATGGAAGGGGAAGGTGAAGAGGCCAAAACAGATATTTTGAATGTCATGAAAACCCTAAATTCCAGTTCTGTACCACAGTTAGGGCAAGCCCCGGATATCTCCATGTACTCAGAAGCATCATCAACCAGAACATGCTGCTGTGCACTTCAGGACTGCCAGCATGCCCACATGCCTGCTAACATCCCACTGTTTTCATCACCAGCCTTGTCACCAGCCTGATCAACCAGACCAACCAACAACTGGCACGAAGACCCAAGTACAACACCACAGCTCTGCTGGGTTCTTTTACCAAGTAATGCACAATCAAATACTAGGCCCTAAAAATTGTAAGATTGCCTGAAAAACTAACAAAAATAACCAGCTCAGAGCAGGATGTAATTCTAGATGTTCAAACTTGCCTCAGTGACCATGAAACAAATAAATACTTGAAAAATTGCTGGTTTGTAGGGCATAGGGAGAGCAGACTGCTCCCTCCTCTACCAGGGGCTGCTCAGCCGTGGGCCAGGGCTGGTCGTATGGGTGAGCATCTCCCAGCACAACAGCACAGCCAGCCCTACACAGACCAGCTCAATTTTTCAGTTCTCTTAAGGAAAGAAGGGGGGCTCTACTCTCATGGTTAGAGAAGTTGAGCAAGAAATGGGATTTGAAACAGGTTTCATCACCCAGAGTGTGGATTAGCAGAGCAGCAGCTGTGAGAGCTGGAAGGCCACTGTGGAGCATCCAGGGCTCGTGCTGAATGGAGAACCCCCTCACCCAGGGGCACCAAGCCCTGCATCTCACAGGCAGCAGAGAGCCTCTGCCTTGTGGCCAAAGGGGCAGACACACACTGGGTGTTGGCAAACTCAGTGTGTAAGTGCTTCTTGTCCATGGGAAGGACCAGCTCTGCTTCCCACCAGTCAGGCTTGTCTGCTCTGACAGCCACACAAGGATGGACTGCTCGGAATGGACTCCTGCAGACTCTCATCCAACCTCTGCTCAGAGCAGGTCTGGCCTCGGAGCTAGAGCAGGTTGTTCAGGGCCTCATCCAGGTGACACCTGAGTACATCCAAGGATGGAGGTGCCTGTCTTCCTGGTGCCTGCATCAGGGCTGCACCATGCTCACAGGAAAGAGTCTTCTCCTAATGCCAAACTGGAATTTCCCCTACTGCTCATGCCCACCATCTCCAGGCCTGCTCCCAGGCACCTCTTGGGAAGAGTCTGGTCCCACTTCTCCCCCCATTAGGTCGCTATGGGCAATGAGATCTCCCCTTCCTCTCCCTCCTCCCAGCTGAACAAGCCTGGGGCTCAGCCTTTCCTTCCCCATGTTCTCCAGCCCCCAGCCCTCTTAGTGCCCTGCACTGGGCTAACTCCAGTGTGGCAGCATCTCTTGTGTTCCTTACTCCAGCCTCACTCCCTGCAAACACCCCAGGGCCTGATACCTGTGCCCAGCCAGGGACAGGGCACTTTGTGTCCTCACCTGCTCTCCTTTTCTCTCATTCCTTTCCACATGCTATTGCCTATAAAAGCCCCATCACACACTTGTCCATCAGCCCCCACAGCTCCATCTCCCAGGAGCTGCAGGCTCTAAGTGGGGACATTTCCCTTCCGGAACAAGCAGCACCCTTCCCTGAGGGACTTACAGGTGTCTGTCCATACCTGGCTGAGCACTCCTTGGTGGCACCGTGGCAGGACGGAGAGGTGTCCCAGGACGTGCAGCTGCTCTGGCCTTTGCCAAGTGCACGACAGGAGGGCGCTGGGGCTTGGCTGGCTTCACTCCCAGCACCCTCACGTGTGGCAAAGGCTTCCTCCGGGGCACAGCTGGCAGTCCTGAGCGCTGGGGGCTTCCTGCAGCCACCAGTGGGGCTGCAACAGCCGTGCCTTTGGCAGGAACTGCTGGAACACCCTTGTCTTTGGCAAGTGGCTGTGTCTGCTGGGCTGGCTTGCTCTGGGGAGGATCAGGGCCAGCTCCCACCTCCTTGCTCAGCACATCTCCTTCTCCTGGCTTTGCAGGCGCTGGGTGAAAGTTGGCGTCTTGAGCCATCCCCTTCTTCTGCCGTGCCATCCATGCCAGGGCTTCCTGGGTGACACGAGGAGGGCAGTGCTGCCCCACCCCCTGACCTGTGCTGTGACATGGAGAGGCCCTGCTGCAGTCCACTCTCCTGCTCCGGGGGGGTTCTGGAGGGGGCTTGCCCTTGGAGCCCTTTGCAAGGGTCTGTCCTGGCTCTGGTCCACGGGGTGCTGCAGGGTGACTCTCTGGCCAGCCCCCCCCTTCAGGAGAGTCTTTCCTGGTCCCTTGGAACTTTGCCCTCAGGTGCCTCACCACAGCATCTCTCCCGTCCAGATGTATCTGCAAATGTTAAGAAAGAAAGTTCCAGTAAAAACACCACGGAGGAAAAAGAGTCAAAAGTCCCCCTGGGGAATGTGGTATTCCTTCAGCAAGGCCTCACACTAAGACTTCGCCATGAAACAAGGTCTTTGCTCGAAAAGGTCCTGGAATATGTCTGAGAAAACAACACCAGGCTGCTGGTCTGATCCACCCTTTGTCCACTACCACCAAACCAGAGGGACTGGGTCAGAATCTGAGATCCAGAGATTGCCCAGGGCTCAGGTGGGAGCAATGTGCCTTGCCCTGGTCCTGGTTCCCATGAAGAACCACAAAGAGAGGGAGATCAGAGCCATTGGATCCCTCCCTGCAGGAAAACTCGGGCTGGTGCTGCTGAGACTCACCCCACCAAAGCTTGCATGCGAAAAACAAGGCCAAGAGGCAGCAGACTCAGCCTACTTTTCTGCCCTGTGTGTTTCCTGTGCCGCTCACACCATGTACACACTAACCAGGACAGCACAGAGCACAGAGCTGCCCTCAGCTTCCTCAGCGACCTCAGTGACCAAAATTCACCCTTTTCTAGAGCCTTCACAGAAAGGCTGCCAGGAGGAGGCTGGATGTCTCTTGGAAGAAGAGTGCCAGGTTGGAGCTACGGTACAAAGCTACAGGATGGGGCTACATTTTTCCTAAGTTTCTCAGATGGACCTTGTGGAAGGGGAGGGATCACCTTACCCTCCCCATCTCTCTCCCACCCTGATGTCCCCAGACCACAGTGTTTCTTTGCACTGGAGCTGCTGCTCTGCTGGAGCTGGAGGCTTTGATTTTGAAGTTCTTCTCCTTCTGCGATTTCAGTTTGGGTTTGTACTTGCGTAATTTTTTCTTTCACAAGGGAAGGGCTGATGTGGAGAGAAGCTGGTGCAATGTTTTTAGACAGAACTGTTCAAATGTATATACATACATACATAAACACAAGTTCTCCAGGCAGATGCCCCAATTCCCCTGGTAAACCCTCACATGCAGCGCTTGGCATAGCCTGTGGTGAAGCAGAGTGAATGTGCCGTTTCCTGCACACCAGGCAGAGGGGCTTTCACCCAAACTTATGAAAAAAAGCCATTTTTTCTAGATTCCCAAACATGCTGCTGGGATTTTTGGCACTTGAATGACTCAGTGGTTTGTAACCATCAATTCTGGGGCTGTTCCATGAACTGGGACTTGCCCAGAGCTCTCAGGTGTACCTGTGGGATACAGCACCACTGTGACTGTGACGAATTCCAGGTTTTCCCACGTATTTTGTGCTGGTGGAGCTCTCCTGGACTCAGTGGGAGTGCAGCCTCCTCCTTTCACAGATGTTTATGTCCATCCCGAGTTCATCCAGCAGAACTCCCACTGAGCCCAGGAACAGGTCAGAGACCTTTGAAGCTCCAATCAGCTCAGACATACAGGAGGACTTTGCCTTCCAGGAGGAGTGAGGTTCTCAGATGGATTCTGTCCCTCACAAGGACATCCCCAAAGCCTTCCCAACCAGGAGACACAGCTCCAATCCCAGTGTCCCGTCCCCATGTCCAGCATAGCCCAAGTCTGGTTCTTACTCACCATTTTCCATCAGTGGTTGCTTTCCTGTGTGCTCCCCTCCTCGCTAAAGACCACCCGAGGTATCCCAGGATGAGCCTGTCCCAGGTCCCCCTCCCCTGAAACCAGAAGCTCTTTCCTAACGGCTGGTGAGGACCTGTGTGCAATGCCAGGAAGTCGCTGGAGCCTGATGGTGAGACAGCACGAGGGGGAGGAGAAAGAGGAGGAGGAGCAGCTCTTGGTGGCCCACGAGCTTGGCTCTGCTGCTGTGGGAAGCTTGCAGCCCACCAAGCCCTGCTGCCCGTAGAAATCTCATCCAGAGGAGAGCCTGGGTTTTGGGAACTGACTGCAGGATGTGA